CCCAGTGGCACCGCCCGCATGCATGCAGCATCGCCCACCCAGTATTGCGTTTCGTGGCCCCGCAGGGAGCCCCACCGAAGGCCACGCTGCTATCGCCCGCATGCGTCACTCCCACCCATCACAGCCTTTCGTGGCCCCATAGGGAGCTCCACCGAAGTCCTCAGTGGCACCGCCCGCATGCGTCACCCCCACCCCGCACGGCGTTTCGTGGCCCCACAGGGAGCTCCACCGAAAGCCTCACTTGGACCGCCCGCATGCGTCACCCCCACCCAGTCCAGCGTTTCGTGGCCCCACAGGGAGCTCAACCGAAGGCCTTAGTGCTACCGCCCGCATGCGTCACCTGCACGCATTTCGGTACACCCAGCACATCGTGCCGTCGCCCCAGATGGAGCTCCACCGAGGGCACCAGTGGCCAGGCCGCCGCCGGGGGCCCCTGCCGCACAGCGAGCATTCCGGATACAACGAAGAGGCGGAGCAGGGCGAGCTGAGCGAGACAGCGACCTCGCTTGACAGCCACACCGGACTAGATATCACCGGCGAGGACGACGGCGACGATGGCAGCGGCGAAGACGAGGGGGATGACGGCTACGAGGAGACGGGAGAGCCGCCAGCCCCAGGTCCCAGACCGACGCCCCCGTCCAGGGTGGAGGCCGCACTTGGCCGTCTGCCAGCCTGGAGGCCGGCCCCTGTGGGCCCACCTGGGCCGCGCGGCTGCTGCGGCTAACCCCGCGGCAGGACTCCTCGGGCCCCCTCTCCGCCAGGCTTGTGTGGATTGCCTTTGGGGAGTGCGCGCCATCGCCTGGGCCTCGGCCGTGGTGACCCTGGTCTGTTTGTGCATGTCTGTACTTCGCGTCGCAGTCGACGCCCTGCTGATCGGCCCTGTTCGAGCATGCCTTGGGTGCTGCGTGCGCCGCTGCCGCCTGGCCCCCCTGGGCCGCCGCCGCCGCCGCCGCCGGGGCTGGTCGGGCCGGGGGCTTCGCGCCCAGTCGACAACGCGAGGTGCAGCGGGGTGCGGGCCCGAGGGGCCAGCGGCCGCCCCCGGCACTTCATCTTCGTCGCGGAGCGGCAGGCCGCGCGCGTCAGCCGAGGATCCCCCGAGAGCGGGGGCCCCTGCCCGCGCGTCGGGCCTCATCTACGACTGCAAGACTTGTCGGGGGTCAACGCTGCCTGGAGGAAGCCTCCACCAAATGGCTGCGCCTGTGGCGCGAGGCACCTTGCTGGGACCTGGGCGATCGCTGCACCTCAACACCTACAACCACGTGGGCGCGGAGGACTTGGTCGAGCCGGGGCAGCTCGCCGACCCCGGGCCTGGCCGAGGGCGGCAGCTGGGGCTGGTGGCTCGGGCTGCCTGCCGCCTGCTGCTCAGGGCCGCTGGGCGTCTGCTTGGGGCATGCGGTTGCCGCTGCCTGGTGAGCAGCCGCGGCTGCGCTGGCCGCCAGGGCGCACGCCGCCGCCGCCGGCGCTGCCGCGCGCGCCGGCGCGGGCCGCCCCCCCGCCCGAGATCGCCGCGCACGGCGACCTTTCGGAGACGGAGTCCGAGCCTGAGGAGCGCAAGTGCCGCGCCGACCAGGTCCTCTATACGGGGGGCGGGCGCGCGCAGCAGATGGCCAGGGGCAATTGCCGACGTCAGGCTGCTCGCGGAGGACACCGAGCTGTCGGGCATGCTCGAGCCCGCGGGCGCGCCTGAAACCCGCTTGTGCTCCCGCGCGGCGCGCCTGGGGCGGCGCTGCCCGCGGGTCGGCTGCCGCCGCCTTGGCGGCGTGGTGGTCGCTCGCGGGGCCAGCTGCTGCGCTGGCCGCGCCGCTGCCGCTTTGGGCCATGCCCGCGGCCCGCCGCTGCAGCCCCCGCCCGAACCCCCCTCCGGGGCTCGGCGCGCGGCCGGCGACGCGGGAGAGGCCCCGGGCGCTGAGCCGCCGAGGCGCCGAGGCGCCCGTGGCCCAGCTGAGCGGGCTCCACCCCCGGGCCGCCGAGCAGGGCGAAGGGTGCGTCGTGTTGGTCGCGCGCCACGATGACGAGCAGGTTCAATGCGCCTTCGGGGCCACGCTGGTCTTTCTGCGTCGCCCTCGGCTCGGATGGGCGGCTCGCGGCTGCCCGCGCTCGACCGGGCGGTGGAGGCGCCGCGCGAGGTGGTCGCTGGCAGCCGCCTGGCCACGGAGGCTCGCGCCGCAGGGGCGCCGCTGCTCATCGCGCCGACCCGCCCGGAACACGCCCCTCGGGGCGTGGCCGCAGACGGCCGTGGCATGGGGCGCGCCGGGCTCAGCCTCCTGCAGAGGCGCGAGAGGCTGGGCCGCCTCGCGCACGCGCTGGTAAGATTCCCCGAGCGCCGAGGCCACCTTGGGCGGGGCCCACCGCAGCCGCGGCAACGGCCCGAAGACGAGCCGCCGCTCCGAAGGATCGGGCGCCCCCACCAGCGACGACTTGATCGACCTGCTGCGGGATCAGCAGCCAGAGCCCGACGTCCTGGACAGGGGGGCCCTGCGCGCCCTCATCTCCGAGGAGGCGCGCCGACGCGCCCCGAGCCAAGCGGCCGATGCGAAGGGATTCCTGGAGGAGCGGCGCTTGCAGAGCATGGACATCGACGCCGCTGAGCAGCTCCAGCACAAGTACACGTTCGACGACGTGGGTTCGGCCGCCGACACGATCGCGGACGCTCTGCTGCACGTTGCTGGGCCAGACGGCCGGGTGCCGCTGCCCGACGCGGAGGTCAAGGCTCTGCGGGCCATCGTGCACTCGCTCGGGGAGCGCGGCGCCCCCGAGCTCGGCCGAGGACGCCCAGTCCCAGTGCCCCATGCGCGAGGCGCGCGAACGCCCTCCCCGCCGCGCGAAACATAGCCGCCGAGGCCGCGGCGATCGAAGAGTGCCCCCCCGCCCCCGAGGAGGTCGAGCCGCCGTCGTTCGGAGGAGATACCAGCCATCGCTACTACCCGCCAGGCGTGGACAGGTAGGAGGTCGAGCCGAACCCCTTCCGCCTCGAGACACCCGCCTTCACGGCAAGAAGCCGGACGCTGGCGCCAGCCCATCTGCTGAGCGGCCACGCCGTCGGCTTTGCCGCGCCGCCGCTGCGGGATACCAGCCGGCAGTTCAGCCTGGCCCGGCCGGGGCGCGGGGCCTGGGGCCAGCGGCCGCGGGGACCGTCGCGCTTCCCAGCCTGGACGCCTACGCCCGGGAGACCCAAACGTGGCCGCCAGCCACTTCGACGGCACCACTCGCCCACTATCCCTGACCGGGGGCATGCCTTGCTGGCCTGCCAGCGGAAGGGTTCGGCGGTGGGCCACGCGGGCTCAACGACACCGAGGCCCTGCTGGCGGACAGTGCCTTCCGTTGGTCTGCTGGCGCAAAAGATACCAGTGGCTGTGGCACCAGCTGGCGCGCATGCCCGCTGTGCGCTTGCAGTGCTCGCAGTGCCCCCTCTTCGCTGGGGGGTTCATTCGTGCCCCAGCTTGGGCCACGCTCCGTCGTGCGGCTGGCCAGGTTTTCTTTCGCTCTCCTCACCTCTCCCCTTTCGGGCCGTGTCGTTTCTCTGCCCCTTTACTTCATCGTTTCACGGTTTGCTGTGATCTATTACGCACTGGCCCGTCGTCTTTGCAGCGCGGTGGTCGTCATGCAGCCCTCTGGTTCTCGCTGTAGCGTAGCTTCGCTGTCGCGTTTTACAGTGTAGGTCGAGGTTGTCAGATGCTCTGCGGCGAGAAAGCACCACTGCTAACATTCAGACTCGTTCGCCCATGACCACCGCGATGTAGCAGGTCTGCCATTCGGCACCCCATGGGGGTTGAGGGCCGCCAGGGGGTACGTCACGTGCTTGTTCACGCCCAAATTGTGGGGGTGTTTCGAGGGAGACGCCCGTTCGTGGCTGTGGACGCGTGTGTTGTCAGATCCGTCTGGCCACTGCGGTGTAGCAGGCGTGGCGTTCGGACCATCCAGGCAGGAACAAGAGAACCGCCCTGGGGTACATCATGTGCACAATCTCCCCCAGATCGTTGGGACATCTCGAGCGAAACCCCCGTCCGTGGCTGTGGGTGCGCGTGTGTTTCAAATCCCTGCGATCACCGCGATGCAGCAAGCATGTCGTTCGGACCACCCAAAAGGGAACTGCCAGGGTGTATATCAGGGGCCCGTTCGACTTCAGATTGCGGGGATGTCTCGAGCAAAGTGTTTGTTTTGGGAGGTTGACGCGTCTCTTTTCAGAAATGTTTGACCATCGCGATGCAGCAGGCATGTCATTTCCCCATGTCCTTCTGTAGGAGAGCCATCAAGGGGTACGTCACGGTCCCGTGTTCGTTCAGATTGACGGGATGCGTTGGCCCACCAAGTCTTGGACCCGTCTATTAAGACGCTCTTATAAACACATTTCCAGACGCTATCAAAGAAAAAGGAGTTCGCTGGAAGATGGATGCACATACTGCGACTTCGCATTGAAAAACGACATCTTTCCAACCACTTGGTAAAACACATGTCCAACACCTCGTTGCCTTTGGCGGCTTTCGTGTTCTGACGGGCGTGCAACCCTACAGGGTCGAGCAGTAGGACGTGGGCCATCCACAGGCAAGCTCTTTCTGTCATGGACGTTCGACGGGCAGATCAGACCATTCGTGGCAACTCTCTCTGGCGCCGGGGGCGGAGGGTTGGAACGTCAGGACGACATGGAGGGTTCCACCAGATGGATGGGGCCCCGCCTCTCCCGGATTGGAGGGCTTCTTGTTTTTTCTTCCTTATCCATCTCCTCGTAGCCACTCGCGGCTCTAGCTTCTGCACACCCCCGCGCTCCTTTCCTCATCCCAGTGTTGTTTTTGTTTCCCTCCTTCGATGGCGAGCCCCGCCTGGGGAGGGAGGGGCTCTTCTCTTTCGCCCCCTCCTCCATCCTCTCCTTCACTTCCTCTTCTGCCCTCGGGGACGTTACCTGGAACCCCACATCCTGCCACTCCCTTCCTTCCACTCCACCGCCCGGCGCTAAGCCGCCCCCCATCCCCTCCTCCTCGCCCTCCCCCCCCTTTCCGCCTGGGATGGCGAGCCTGGACGGCTTCCTGGGCCACTTCGACATGCTTCTCGACGAGGACCGCAACGCGCTGTACAAGAAGGCCATCGGCCTCGCGGCGCGCGACCTGCGCGCCCGCCGCGAGCAGAACCGCGACGGGCGGCCGCTGCAGGCGCTGGACATAGGCACCGGCAGCGGCCTGCTGGGCCTGCTGTGCTGGCAGACGGGTGCCTTCGGTGCGGTGGCGCTGCTGGAGGCCACTCCTGAACAAACCCAGCTCGACACCAATTCGGAGAACACTTGCTACTACATAGGCGCAATGTGCGGCATTGCCTGGCATATTTCCTAGCATTGCCTTGTAGTGCGTGGCAGTGCTTTGCATATTGCTTTGCATATTGCTTGGCATATTGCTTGGCATATTGCTCGGCATATTGCTCGGCATATTGCTCGGCATATTGCTTGGCATCGCCTGGCAGTGATTGGCATGGCTTGGCATGTTGCCTGGCATTACTTGGCATTGCGTGGTATTGCGTGGAATTGCGTGGCATTGCTTGGTATATTGCTTGGCACATTGCTTGGCATGGCTTGGCATATTGTTTGGCATTGCTTGGCATGGTGTGGCATTGATTGGCATTGGTTTGTACATTGCTTGGCATATTGCTTGGCAGATGTATTGGCATAGTACTTGACTTATTGCTCATCATTTTGCTTGGCATGGCTTGTCATACTGCTTGGCATACTGCTTGGCATTGCGAGACGTTGCGTTGCAGTGCGCAGCATGTTGCTTGGAATGTTGCCTGGCGTACTGCTCGGTATGTTGCTCGGCAAATTCCTTGGTACAGTTACTGCTTGGCCGACCCTTCGGCATTGCGTGGCATTACTGCTTGACATTGACTGGCACCGCTTGGCATTGCCTAGAGAGGCAGCAAGGAATCAAGGCTAAGGATCCATTGATCCCACAAACCAAGGAACCTAGGAACCAAGGCCAAGGCACCAAGGAACCACAACAAATGAACCCAGGAATCAACGAACCAAGGAACCAGGGAACTTAGGATTTAAGTCCAACGAGCCAAGGAATCAAGACCAAGGAACCCAGGAACAAGTATTGATTTACCAAGGGCCCGAGACCAAGGCACCGAGGGACCAAGACCAACGAACCCAAGGAAGGCAGCAATGAAGCAAGATCAAAGAACCAAGGGACCAAGAACAAGGCACCCGAGGAAGGCCCAGGTGGAGCGACTTCAGGTCGCGCGGAAGGACGGAGAAAACTTTGATCCAGGGGAGGTGGGCGTCGACGCGACCAGCGCTCATCTGCGCGGCGGAGGGTTTGGCGTCTTTGGCGCAAGTAGAGACCGCCAGCAGGCAGGCGCTGGTGATGGAAGTGGCGAGCCGTATCTTGCAGCCAGCAGGGGAAGGGTGAATGAACCCCTCACCTGGTATAGGCTTTGTGGATGCGGCGGAGAGCCAGGATAAGCTGTCGGGAGGCCAGGCCGGGACTGCTTCAAGAAGGAGGGCGCGCACTTGACTAGAGGTGGCGCGGATCCGCAGGCTGGGTGGCCCATAAGGCCGCTGAGGAGAGCCCGTCCTGGCAGGTGAGTGGTGCACGTGGGGCTCCATCACGCATTCGATGTGGTTGTGTGTATACACCCAGATTGGTGCGAGGTCCATGGGCAAACCATCGTCACTTCAAAACATATATATATATATATATACACATACATACATACATACACCTATACGGCCACCCTTCGGGTGATCAGGAGGTTGTGAGGGGGGAGGAGGGGGGGAAACCAACATCTGATTCAATCGATTTCATTATCCATCTCATTCAACGGGACACCACGGGACACCACGGGACACCACGGGACACCACGGGACACTTGTCGATCCCACTATCGATCTCACTATCGATCTCACTCCACGGGATACCACTGGACACCACGGGACACCTCTCGATCTCACTATCGGTCTCAGGTCTCACAATCGATCTCACCATCGATCTCACCCAACGGGACACCATGGACACCACGGGACACCACGGGACACTGCGGGACACCACATCGATCTCACTATCGATCTCACTATCGATCTCACAATCGATCTCACTCCACGGGACACCACGGGCCACCACGGGACACCTCTTGATCTCACTATTGGTCTTACTATCGATCTCACTATCGATCTCACTCAACGGGACACCATGGGACACCACGGGAAACTTGTCGATCTCACTATCGATCTCACTATCGATCTCACTCAACGGGGCACCCGGGGCACCGCGGGCCACCACGGGACATCACCGGACACCGTTAGGGTCACCGCCGGACGGAGGATAATCATTTGTCTTGACTTCGCCCTAGCAGCGGCGGACACCACGGGACACCAGTCGATTCTCATTCCCCACATGCTTCGTGGGGTTCTGGTTTTCTTCCTTGCCGCGCCGCACCCGCGACACTCCCACACACACCTCACTCTTCCTTTCCTCCTCACAGCACTGCTCAGCACATCTCAGCTCAGCTCTCAGCATGGCACAGCTCAGCACAGCACAGCTCAGCTCATCTCAGCACAGCACAGCGCAGCACAGCACAGCACAGCATAGCTCAGCCCAGCTCAGCACAGCACAGCTCAGCTTAGGGGGTGCGCAAGGGGGGTGGTCCCTCACCGCGGCCGCACGCAGGAATGCAGGGTGCGGCAGGCGTGGCAATGTCTCCATAACAGAGGCGGTGCGCGGGGGGTGCGGTCTCTATGCGTTGCAGGCGCGCAGGGCACGGCAGGCGCGGCACTCTCTCGACACCAGGAGGGTAGGCAGAGGGTGCAGTCTCTATGCGTTGCAGGTGCGCAGGGCATGGCAGGCGTGGCACTTTCTCGACACCAGAGGGATGCACATGGGGTGCGGTCTCTATGCGTTGCAGGCGCGCAGGGCACGGCAGGCGTGGCACTTTCTCGACACCAGAGGGGGTGCACAGGGGGTGCGGTCTCTATGCGCTGCAGGCGCGCAGGGCACGGCAGGCGCGGCACTTTCTCGACACCAGGAGGGTGCGCAGGGGGTGCGGTCTCTATGCGTTGCAGGCGCGCAGGGCGCGGCAGGCGTGGCACTTTCTCGACACCAGAGGGGGTGCACAGGGGGTGCGGTCTCTATGCGTTGCAGGCGCGCAGGGCACGGCAGGCGCGGCATTTTCTCGACACCAGGAGGGTGCGCAGGGGGTGCGGTCTCTATGCGCTTGCAGGCGCGCAGGGCGCGGCAGGCGTGGGAATTCTCGACACCAGAGGGGGTGAACAGGGGGTGCGGTCTCTATGCGTTGCAGGCGCGCAGGGCACGGCAGGCGCGGCATTTTCTCGACACCAGGAGGGTGCGCAGGGGGTGCGGTCTCTATGCGTTGCAGGCGCGCAGGGCGCGGCAGGCGTGGGAATTCTCGACACCAGAGGGGGTGCACATCGGGTGCGGTCTCTATGCGTTGCAGGCGCGCAGGGCACGGCAGGCGTGGCATTTTCTCGACACCAGAGGGGGTGCACAGGGGGTGCGGTCTCTATGCGTTGCAGGCGCGGGCACGGCAGGCGCGGCATTTTCTCGACACCAGGAGGGTGCGCAGGGGGTGCGGTCTCTATGCGTTGCAGGCGCGCAGGGCGCGGCAGGCGTGGGAATTCTCGACACCAGAGGGGGTGCACAGGGGGTGCGGTCTCTATGCGTTGCAGGCGCGCAGGGCACGGCAGGGCGCGGCACTTTCTCGACACCAGGAGGGTGCGCAGGGGGTGCGGTCTCTATGCGTTGCAGGCGCGCAGGGCGCGGCAGGCGTGGCACTTCCTCGACACCAGAGGGGGTGCACAGGGGGTGCGGTCTCTATGCGTTGCAGGCGCGCAGGGCACGGCAGGCGCGGCAGACACCAGGAGGGTGCGCAGGGGGTGCGGTCTCTATGCGGCGCAGGCGCGCAGGCAGGCGTGGGAATTCTCGACACCAGAGGGGGTGAACAGGGGGTGCGGTCTCTATGCGTTGCAGGCGCGCAGGGCACGGCAGGCGCGGCATTTTCTCGACACCAGGAGGGTGCGCAGGGGGTGCGGTCTCTATGCGTTGCAGGTGCGCAGGGCATGGCAGGCGTGGGAATTCTCGACACCAGAGGGGGTGCACAAGGGGTGCGGTCTCTATGCGTTTCAGGCGTGCATGGCGCGGCAGGCGTGGCAAAGTCTCGATCACAGAGGGGGGTGAGCGTGGGGTGCGGTCTCTATCCGTTGCAGGCTCGCACGGCGCAGCAGGCGTGTCATTTTCTCGACATCAGAGGGGGCGCGCAGGGAACGGCCACCAACATCATTCTCACATGCTTCTTTTCAGCTATCATCACTCCAGCCATAATATAAGTATGTGGGGTTCCTCGGTAGCGAAATTTTTTGGGACACCACGGGACACGACGGGACACCTCGGGCCACCACATCGATCTCACTATCGATCTCATTATCGATCTCATTCAACGGGACACCACGGGACACCACGGGACGTTTGTCGATCTCAGTATCGATCTCACTATCGATCTCACTCAACGGGACACCACTGGCCACCACTGGATACCACAGGACACCGCTAGGGCCACCGCCGGACGGAGGATAATCATTTGTGTTGAATTCGCCCTGGCAGCGGCGGACACCACGGGACACCACGGGACACTGCTAGGGCCACCACCAGACGGACGGAGGATAATCATTTGTCTTGACGTCGCCCTAGCAGCGGCGGGTTCATTCCTCTCGCGCGCCCCCGCAGCTTCGCCTCGCCCGCACGCACGGTACGAACGAAACCAAATGATTTCCCGGTTGGGGGTTTCCGTTCCACTGCGATCTCCCCGCATTTTCCGATGTATGATCGCGGGGTCCGGGTCCTCGGGCCCCCCCCCCAGATGGGATGGGTCCCAGGGTCCTTGGGCCCCCCCCCCCAGATGGGATAGGGGGGAGGGAGGAGGAGGAGGGAGGAGGAGGAGGAGGAGGAGGAGGAGGAGGAGGAGGAGAGGAGGAGAGGAGGAGGAGGAGGAGGAGGAGGAGGAGGAGGAGGAGGAGGAGGAGGAGGAGGAGGGAGGAGGAGGAGGAGGAGGAGGAGGAGGAGGAGGAGGAGGAGGAGGAAGAAGAGGAGGGGGAGGAGGAGGAGGAGGAGGAGGAGGACGACGACGGCAATGACGACGACGACGACGACGACGACGACGACGACGACGACGACGACGACGACGACGACGACGACGACGACGACGACACCGACACCGACACCGACGACGACGACGACAACGACGACGACAACGACGACGACGTCGACGGCACCACCAGCGGCGGCGGCGGCGACGACGTCGAGCACCGGAGCTGTCAACATGACGCCAATCCCAGCCACACGCCGCACCCACACCGCACCCACAGGGGGGGAGGGAGGGGGGAGGAGGACCATGGCGTCACCCCGCACACACCTATAGCAACACACCACACCGACACCACATCCACAGGGGGGGGGAGCCACCACGCCACGCCCAGGCCCACCGGGGGGGGGGGGCATCGCGCGGGCGGCGGGCCCATGGCATTAGCATTGGGGAGGGGGGGCCAAAACCCTCGACCATGTATAGAGAGCGAGACATCGAGGGAGAGAGAGAAAGAGAGAGAGAGAGAGAGGAAGAGGTAGAGAGTTAGTTACCTTCGGCAGTTCAGATGCCTCTTGTATTCTTGTGGTGATCTTCGGGGACGTATCCCAGAGGCCTTACAGAAGCGGTTTGGGAGTGCTTCGGGTGCCTTTTCGATGGGGTGGGTCGGGGGAGTCTTGGAGGCCTGTTGGGGCCTTGTTTTGCCTTTGGGGCTTCCGGAGAGCATCTTTGGGCCTGCTGGCGGTCTCGGGCGTCATCTTGGGGCGGAAGGTTCGAAATGTCGGTTCCTGTTCCCTGTAAGCCCCCTCTTGGCCCCTTCTTGGAGCCCTCTTGGGCCGTATTCGGGGCGTCTTGGGCCGCCTTCGAGACGTCTTGGGCCGTCTTGGGGTCCTCTTGGGTCGTGTGGTGGCCGACTTGGGGGCTCAGTCGGGCCGTCTTGGGGCGATTTCGCGGGGCCTTCGGGCCGTTTCGGAGAGTCGGGGCCAAGCAGGAGTTGCACAACCTGCTGGAAACCAGAAAGGGAATCACTGATTTTCGTGTGTTGGGGCCGCGTTGGTCGGGCCCTCGGGGCTCTTCTGGGGCCTCTTGTTGACTTTTGTGGGGCCGTCCCGAGCACTCCTGGGCCGACTCGGGGCCCTATGGGACCATCTTGGGGGTCTCTTGGGCACCCTTGGCCCTCGGAGCCTCGTGGCCCTCGAAGAAGGCCATGCGAGAGCATGCGCCGAGCCCCGGGAGGCAAACGCGGGAAGCAGCTTGAGTTCTGGGCCCTTCGGTATTCAGTCAGCCAGGACTGAGCACGGAGAGGTCCAAGGGGCCTGGGGCATTCTAGTTCGTGCCTCAGGACATTATGCTGGATAGCTGTTTCGAAGTCGATTCGCACTGTTGCCTCGGCCCTCGAGGTGGTAGACAAGTTGGCGTCCTATCACAGCGGCGCCGCATAAACTTTAACATGTTCTGCGCTGCCGAATTCTTAGTTGAAGCTTGTTGTGCGAGGCATCATTCCAGAGAAGAGGTCGTTTGGGCCAAGAGGGATGCACGCACACTGCCATCGTTATTGTCTTTTCCCTTTGCTCCACTTCATGCTTCTCTGCTCACACGACTGGTCCAAAACCAGCATCAAGTTGAAGTGGTAATGCGGCGTCTCACGACATGACTGCACACGGGTGTGGCGACAATCGAATGCTTACGTTGTCCCTCTCAGTATTTCTCCTTCTTTTCGACCGAATTGCGCTGAAAGAAACCGGGTTTATAAACACGCGCTGCGAGGCTGCGAGCATGTCTGAAGAGCTCCCACAGTAGTGTCAACGTCTGGCCCCAGTGCCTAGGTTTGTGGCTTTGCCTTTCCCGATGTGCCCGAAGGCCGTGCCGCTCTGGAGCTCGCACAGCGGTAGGGCTGCGTGCATGCGGCAGGAAAACCAACACCGTGAACTGTGGTTATGACACAGGCGTGCGGTACCGACTCAGTCGGTGTGCCTTTGCAGCAGCCGTTTCTGGTGGTGTACTCGTCTACGCCGCCAGTGCTGTAACAATGAGAACACAGTTGCGAGAAGCAGCGGTGTTCCACTTGTGGTGCTGCCTTCCCGCCTGACGTCCTGTTCATCTTGTGCATTTGTGTTAACGCTGCTGTTCATGTGGGATCTCTTGCGGACGACGACGACGGATGACTCAGCGGTGGATCTGCGGCCTGTCGCCAACGATATGTGCATGCTGCACACAGAAGGCCGCCTTCAGGCACACAATGCGCGCGGGGCGCGAGGGAAGCGCCTAGTCGCTCGGCAGAGCTAGACAAGACGACACGATTCGATACGTACGCTCGAGGAGAAGGAGGAGGATGAGGAGGAGGAGGAGGAGGAGGAGGACGAGGGGGAGAAGGAGGATGGCAGGAGGTAATACTCAGATAGATCCCACCAGGAGGTTTCCATCCCGGAGAGCTTCGCCGGAGTGTGCCAAGTCTGGGCCGTGTTGGTCACGACAAGAGTCGGGAGCGGGCAGACCGTGTGGGGGCAGGAGAACGTGTAGGGTTGCGAGGCGGTCGGGGGGATGATGTGGTTGCCCGGGAGGCGAACCCTGCGCTGGCCGCGGCCGCGCGCGCGAGCGTGCGGCGCACCCCGGGAGCCGCGGACGTGTGCAGCGTCTGGGAGGGCCACTCCGGCGACGTGCTGTCCGGGCCACCGCCTCCGCCCGCCGTGGCGCCCAGCGCGCCGGCGCCGCGACCACCCTTCGACCTCTGCGTTTCGGAGCTGCTGGACTCTGTCTTGATTGGGGAGGGCGTCCTCCCGACCCTGCGGGATGCATTCGAGACGCCTTGGATGGACGTGGAGACGACACTGATGATCCCAGCGAGCGCCCGTATCGTGGCGCGCGCCCTGGAGTCGGAGGCTCTCTTCGAGCAGCACCGTCTGGGCGGCTGCCGCCCGGACAGCGCTGCGGCCTGCCTGGCCGTGCCACCCGCGTTCCTCCGCTGCTGCGGCCTGCACGCCGCCGAGCAGCTGCACCTGGCGCCCTACCTGGAGTCTGGGCTCGCGCGATTCGTGTCGGAGCCGCTGGAGGTGTTCGCCTTCGACTTCTCGAGGGTGGCGGAGCTGCCGCCAGGCGGGCGGCAGCAGCTCCTGGCGGTGACGGTCGAGGGCGGGGCTTCCGTGCATGGATTGGCCATCTGGTTCGAGGCCAACCTCTACGCCGGCGTGGAGCTCTCGACGGCCCCGCGGTCCGCGGACGAGCCCCCAGCGCGGGACCACTGGAAGCAGGCGGTGGTCTGCTTCCGGGCGCCCGTGCGTACGCCGCTGGGCGCCAGCAGCACGTTGCGCCTGGCCGCCCGCCACGACGACGACGCCGTCTGGTTCGAGCCGCTCGGCCTCTCCGCCCCGCCGGCGGGCGCGCCGCCCGAGCTGCCGCCGCCGGTGTGCGGCTGCGGCCTGCACTCCCAGACCAGCCGGAGGCGCCTGGCCCGTCTCGCGGAGCTGCTGCGGCGGCCACCCGCGGGGGCCGCGGCAGGGGGGCGTGGCGCCCTGGTGTTCGGAGACGGGGGCGTGCTCCCGGCGCAGCTGGCCTCTGGCGGCTACGGGCCCGTCGTCTGCGTCGGCGGCGGCGCCGACCTGAACCGCGTGGTCGTGGAGGCGTTCGCCGACGCCAATGGGGTGCGGTGCACGGTCCGCATAGCCGACCCGAGCGCTGGGCTGCTGCCAGGCGGCGCGAAGCGACGGAGGGTTGCTGTGGAGGAACCGTTGTCGCTCGACGACGAGGAGGTGAGCGAGTGCCCCTTCGACTGGCAGGCGCTCGCCAGCGCGCTGGAGGAGCAGCGGCCTCGCGTCCAGTGGGACGTCTTCGCGGAGCCGTGGTATGACGAGCTTTCAGAGGACTGGGACTTGGTCCACTACACGCGCTTCAAAGAGGACTTCCAGGCCCTCCTGGGCGCTTGGCCCGCGCTGCGCGGCGCTGGAGCCGCGCGGTGTCGCTTTCGCGTGGTGGCTCGCGCCTTCAACTCCGAGCTGCTGGCACAGCGGCTCCAGCCGCTGAGCGCTTCGGGGGGGGGACCCGTGCGGTCTTGGGCCGGGCTTGAGCTCGCCGACTTCATGAACGGGCTGCACCCGGGCCAGCCGAAGCCAGGTCATTCTGTGGACGCCTGGGCGCTGCTCCGCGCAGGCTCGGTCCACCTCTGCGGGGCCCCGTGCGACGTGGCCAGCCTCGACCCGCTGGACGAGCACGCCGGTGGCGCAGCGCACGTCGAGGTGCCGGCAGACGGCCGCACGGTGCACGGCGTGCTGCTGTGGCTCCGCCGGGAAGCCCCCGAGCCCACTGACGTCGACTGGGGTGCGGTGCTCGCAGGGCCCGTGGACGCGGCAGGGGCGGCGCCGCTGAGGCACGCGCGCCTGGGCGTGGCTCTGCTCGACGAGCCCCTTGGCAGGGGCGGGGTCCTGCGGGTGAGCGTCGCGCGCGGCAGCGCGGGAGACGGCGGCTTCGTGGTCGGCGTCTCGTCCCCGCATGGCCCTTTCTCTTGCACCTTACCCCCTCCTTCATCATTCGACCTCCCTTCTTCCCTCCCTCCCACTCCGTGCTCCACCTCTCCTTGTCATCCTTCATCCTTGAACTCCCTCCCGCTCTCTCCTTCGATAAAGGATGACAAGCCTGCCTATTGATGAGCACGAATGTGCTGCCAGAAACGTTTGCGAGCAGTCCAATGCACTCCACAATTTTCCCTATTGTGGAATTCGCCTTGTTGGGCTGAGCGCCGCATGCAAAGGAGAGTTGCTTTGACACATGTTTTACGGGTGCGTCCAAGCAGAACTAACTCCTGTTTATGCGCACCTTGGCACAGGGTGGGCCGTGAGTCTGGAGCAACCTGTGGACTTTCATAGGGCGTGTCATGCACGACTCATCTAAAACTCCGCCCGATAGCGATCATCAATATTAAGATGCGCGTGTCCCTCACCAAACTGGTAACGTCTCGCAACAGTGCTCTGTGATGAGCTCGGGCAGCCGCTTCGTGAAAGCACGTGTATTCTCAGGCCGCTCGAAAGCATGCATCTGGCAAGGGTCGATGCCCCACTCGCACGCGTGAGGAACATCAACTGCAGGAGCGAAGCTAGACCCGCATTCGTGCGCAGACTGACCTTCGTGAGACGGCCGACGCACGGCAGCAGGGGTGCTCAGAAGTACCATCGCCGTCTCTCGGACGGCGGGCTCGGGAGCACCAGAGCCCCACAAACGCCTGATGTACAGTCGGGCTGCTGAAAGAAGAACGATCAACGAGGAACGAAGCCCCTTCTTGGCCCCACGAGCGCCTGCGTGCACGAGGAAGGCCAGAGGAAACGCCATAGAAGGATCTGAGGAACATCGAGCCCCTTTCTTACCCAAACTGCTCCTTCTTTCAGCGACTTGGCTGTATGTCTCAGGGGAGTCATCGCGAGCACGTTCCGCAACACCGCTGCAGACGGCCACCTTCAGGAGGAAAAGACACACACAGACACAACTCATCCTCGATTCCCCAGAAGATATGGGAAACTATGGGAAGCGGGGGGGGGAAAAGACAGAAACCCAGAACATATGGAAACATGTGGGGAACATGTTTATTTGTGTGTATTTATTGTGTGTCCTGGGGCCCCTTCACACCTGCATGTCAGACTTGTCGACAACAAGTTGCCCGAGCCTGGCCGCGCTCCTCCTCCGGGTTCCGACCGGCAAGGCGGCATCCGCGTCGGAGACTCTGCGTGCGGACGGGAGCATACGCAAGCATTGTCTCGAACTCACATGGGAGGCACAAACATATACACCACCACCACCTCCTCACCCCCTCCCCCTCCCAGGAAGGAGGAAGGAAAGAGGAGGGTAGAGGAGAGAGAGGGGGAATCAAAGTGGTGGTGGTGGTGCATATTCTTTGGGCCCCCATCACGTCCCCGGTCAGAGCCGATCTGGTGCTCCGGATCACGGGGGCGATTTTTATGTTGTCCACTGTAAACATACAACAATGCATCCAATCATGTTAACTCACATTGGACTCATGTTTGAACAGCAGCGTCGGATTCATCGAACTTGATTGCATGATGATCGATGTGTGGAGCAAGGTCACCAAGACACGGTTCAGAAGCAAAAGGTTCATAAGCAAAAGGTCGTTGACGTGATGTATTGCTGCAGTAGAACGCGTCGTCGGGCCCAATGACCATGTCTTAGGTGAGAATGTATCCCATTTTCGCTTGTCAAATAGGTGTTCAAATACCAACAAAAGCATGGGCAGTATAGTTAGGCTGAAAAGTTGACCAATACAAGTCCCCATGTTTTGCAGCAGACACTGCAAGCCCATTTGCAAAAAAACGAATCGTCACGCACGAAGGCGCGGCGCACTAAAGGGTCTTAAACAATAGGACGGTCGATCCAAACGAAACCATGCTAATGCGGCATCCAGGTCTGGCTGCCGGCCAGCAGACATGCGACACTATTACGGACGTGCAGCCAATGATACCCGCGGCACGGTTCGCCTTCTAGTCGAGGGACCAAGAATTTTTGCGGATAGGAATTCATACAAACACTTGCCCAGCACTACAGTAATGCAGCCCTGGTCTGTTCATATCAACTCCGCAGACCCAGCAGCAAGGGCGCTCTATTTGCACGGCGCGGGTGTGTCGCAAGTCGCATGTGCTCTGCAGCTCCGTCATGGATGGCAGCTCCCACCCAGGGGAAACAACGTTGATTAAGACAGCCACAGCACGATAAATGCACTCGTGCGACATTCTCGCTGAAATCTGGACGGAAGACATCACTGTGCGTACTGATGCGAGGCCGCGCATCCTGCACGTGTGCCTGCTACCGCTGGCCACGTCGACGTCACTTCGGCAGACCAGCATTTCCGCTTCACAGATGGGTATGCGAAAGAAGCATGCTGCAATGTGAAATATGTGCTGTCTGGCAATCGTGATCGTGGAAGACCCAGTGCTTGCAGTGCGCGGTGCACTACCAATGCAGCATCATGCAACGCACATCTGCCACCCACAGAACATATGGACCCTTGTCCTCCACAGTGATGAGTAAGTCCTGGGGGGTGGAGGAGGGGGCCAGTGTTGTCACGTTTCGCGCCTGCGCCGTCTGGGAATGTTTAGGAATGACCAAGGACAGCTCGGATAGCCGATACCGATAGGGATCTGCTACGCAGAGCGCGCATATCTAAAAGGATCTGCTACGACAGAGCGCCTCCCCTCCCCTCTCCCCATCTTCCTGCTCTTCCTCCTCCTCCTCCTCCTCCCACATCCTTCTCCCTCCACCTGTCGTCGTCGTCGTCGTCGTCGTCATTGTGTCGTCGTCGTCGTCGTCGTCGTCGGCGGCGGCGTCGTCGCCGTCGTCGTCGTCGTCGTCGTCGTCGTCGTGGTGTGCCTCCTCTCGCCGTCCTCGTCCTCTTCATCCCACTGCAAGGCGCTTCGCACAAGGAACGAAGAGGGGAGGAGGGAGCTGGGAAGGGGGAGGGGGCGATGGAGGCGGGGCCAGGCCGAAACGGCTTGTTCGATTGCACGTCTGATGTCGATCAGTGCCGTGGGAGGAGTCTGGGCGCTCCTGGGCCCGAGATGGGGAATTGTCTCGTCGTCGTCCTCCTCCTCCTCCTCCTCCTCCTTTCGTCGTCCTCGTCGTGCTTCTGTTCCTGGCCGAACACGTTGTTGTGCTCGCCGGGCCACTGTGGTGCTCGCAGGCGCACGCCTTGCCTTCACCCAGCAGTTTTTCTCTTGCAGTCCTGTCTCGTTGAGTAATTGAACCCAACGCAACGGGGCACTTCTCCTGTGCCAGGGCTGGGCCCAGGTGTGGCTGAATACGCCAGCCAGAAATTGACATCCGCATCTTCCGCGTGTGATTCCAACCGCGTTTGCTTCCAGCCTCCTGGGTTGCTTCAGACTTCCGGCTTGAGATTCTCGGCCGTAGCCCGATCATTCAAGAAATAAAGACGTAATGCGTTATTGGTGAGTTTGGATTGGAAGAGGCCCACGTGTATCTCGTGTGGTTGCGCCATTCCGAGCGCTCCCGCTGCGCCCCAGCGACGTGTCGTGCGCGCGTTGTTGTGAAGCGAAGCATTCTGCAACGCACCAGTGTCGAACAGGACGACAATAGAAGCAGTACGAGGAAGAGGACGGAGAAGACGACAACGACGACGAGGCCACTTACTCCCTCGGAGCCAGCCAGGGGCGCCCACACCCCTCGCAGAACACGACTCAATAACATAAGTGTGATCAGATAGGTCGTTTCGGCTTGGCCTCTCCCCCCCCCCTTTCGATTCTCTCCTCCTTTGCACTTCACAGTACAATGAGGAGGACGACGACGAGAGGAGGAGGAGGGAAACGAGGAGGAAACAGAGGAGGGAAGGGAGAGGATGGAACACAAGAGCGTATTTATATTCTCAGCAATCCCATACGATGCGCCCAGCTGTCCGTATCTGTCCATCGCAGGTGTTTATATATCAGTAGTCTGGCGCGCGTTCTGCCATACAGTCGGCCCAGATTAGTAGGTCGACCCTGCCAAATCAAGGGTACCCTTGTGTCCTGCGTCTTTCGACCCATGCTTCCTACTTTCCTGTGGCAATGTGGCCCTCGGACGGGTCCTGTGTCCTCTCGCGTGTCCTGTCCAATCGAGTCCGACTGTAGCAGATCCCACTCGGCATCAGCTATCCGTGTTTTTGGGGCTATGCTTGAGCAGCGCCGGCACGAATCGTGACGCTACCGGAGAGGAGAGGGGGAGGCCAGGGCCTGGAACGGCCGCTATCGCGAATCATCGACAAACGCGATCCAGGAAGAGGAGCATCAAGGGGTGGATAGGGTGAGAGGGCGCAGGGGTGTGCTGAGGCAGTCCGCCGCAATTGGTGAATGCGCAGTCATGCCAGTGAGTGGCCATTGCGACCTGGTCACGCAGGCCCAGAGCAACTTTTCAGATCGAAGCCGGTCTGCTTGTGCCCGTGTTCGCGCGTGCAGCATCCATGGCGACGCGGACCACGTCGCCGGCAAGCGTGGTGCATCGCAAATTTGGAGCAGACGTACATGTCGGTGAAACCAAGCAGCAGAGACAGATGAACGTTCAGGAGGATGCAAAACCTCTCGGTATTTGGGAGGGTTTTGCTGGAAGTGTTGGAGGCAGTTTCTTTCGAGAACCTCGATGGGTTGACGCACGGAAAGCTCCGGGTACTACAAGCCAGCAGGCTCCAGATACCATCAATTTCAAGGGATACTTGACAGGAAGTATTGTTTTTTTCTCGCCGAATTTTGTTTGGCTGGTTCTTGCTTTAATGAATTATGCGTTCTTCCCGTATGACATTAATGCCCACGAGGTCTTCACATTCAAGTGGACGGCACATCGGTTCCTCGCAAATAGCACGGTCACACTTGGCTACGTATCGTTTTGGCATGTAACCTTATACTTTTGCCATTGGGGGAGGCGACCGTTCAACCAGACCCGGGAATACCGATGGTCGAAAGTGATGCACAATTTGTTCTACAACATTTGTGGGCTAATGCAATGGACTTTGTGGGAAGCCATCTTTGTGTATTGCTTTGCCACTGGGCGCTTGCCGTACGTGACGGATGATGAATCATTTGGCACTTACATTGGGTTTGCTTCTTTTGTGTCAACTTGCCTATTCGTGGCTGTGTGGCGAGACTTGCACTTCTACTTCGCGCATCGTCTCATTCACCTCAAATTTTATTACAGGTACGTGCATTCTTTGCACCACAGGAACACTGATATTGAGCCGTTCGCAGGATTGAGCATGCATCCGATTGAGCATCTCCTGTACTTCGCTTGCGCAGGCCCTGCTCTTTACATGCGGTTTTCCCCTTTCTGTCTCATGTGGTTTGGCATTCACTTGTTGATATCCCCAGCAGCATCGCACTCAGGATTTGAGGACAACTTCCAGAGCGATCAGTACCATTACCTGCACCACCGCTTTTTCGAGTGCAACTACGGTACGGGGGCTGTCCCCTTCGACAAGTGGTTCGGCACTTTCCGCGACAGCTTGGACTTACAGTCGAGCTCGTCGTACGCGGGTGCACACGTCGAGTCCAGTGGCACCAAGATGGATGCCACTGCGGCTGCTTTGGTTGACGAGAAGGCCACTCTCATTGGCATGCCCGATTTGGACCAGTTGGTCTTCAACGTCGTCACCTGTCTGACGTTGCCCGTGCTTGCGTTTTCCGCGGCAGGCTTCGGGCCCGTGTCCAAGCAGTCTCTAGGCATCCTTGGCAATCCTAGTGTTATCGCCTTTCTGATGGCAGGTGGGCCCGCCGTTGTGGGAATAATGATGTTAGCGGTCTCGACGGCAAGACCCTTTGCCCGGCCTGCCTTCACCTTCTTGTACCCTTTCCACAAAGAGAAGTGGCTTGGTGCATTCGGTATCAACGTATTAGTTTCGCTTTCGGTGACCGTGGTGCCCGTCTACCACATGGTTCATATGTTTGTGAGCGAGCCCGGACAGGCCGTCTTTTTCCAACTGCGGGCATAATGGTCTGGCACCTGTTGGAGCTCTCGCGTGGCATTCCACTAGACCACGGCCAGGTCGTGAGCCGGAGCGACGGTTCGCAAGGTCGGGTGGGCGTGTGTCGGGGGGCGGTGCTTCGTGCGGTCGCGAGCGGGGGGTCTTTGGAGCTGGAGCAGCGCACAGCAAGCTTCTCGGAGTGAACGCCTGTCGGGCGGAAAACCGTGCGCGGATCGTGTCGCACACTTGGCGGAGGGCCTCCTCCTCCTCCCTCCTCCTCCTCCTCCTCCTCCTTCCTCCTCCTCCTCCTTCTCCTCCTTCCTCCTCCTCCTCCTTCCTCCTCCTCCTCCTCCTTGCTACCTCTCCTCTCTCGCCGTCGGCGGCGGGCGCGGGGCACTGCCCGGCAGGGCCGCGTGGGCGCACCCCGACCTGCGGGAGCGGGGCCGCGCGGTGCGGGCGCGGTGCGCGCACACGTCCTGCCCCGTGGAGTTCAGGCTGCGGCGCGTGGCGCTTCTTCTGGAGGAGGCAGGGGCGAGGAGGAGGAGGAGGAGGAGGAGGAGGAGGAGGAGGAGCTGGAGGAGGAGGCTGGGAGCTGCGCGGGCCCATGGCCGCTGCATGTTAGAACCCTGGGAAGCAATCAGTAAACCCCCCTCCCCCCCCCCCCCTCATCAGAGGAAATTATAACGCTTCCGGCACCGGGGCCGGGGCGGAAGCGATATCCCCCGCAGGTCACCAGAGGTCCGCGGAGGGGAGGTCCCCGGAGGTTCCCAGGAGGCATCCAGAAAGGCCTCCACAAGCCTCTGAATGCCCGGTCCCCTTGGGCCCTGCTTTCAAGCCGCAATTGTTGTCGCTTCCTGTGATTCGGTGCGTTTCTGTGAGATTCCTCAGATTCCTTTGATACTCCGATTGGCTTCTTTTTATATTCCTTGCCGTTTCCATTGTGATTCTTTTGGGACTCCTTTGAGACTCCTTTGGTGTTCCTTTGGTGTTATTCTGGGGGTCCCTTGAGGTTCCGGTCATATCCCGTTGATGCCCCATTGCTTGAGGGAGCATCACATCGACATCCGGGGCCGGTGGATTATTTCATTTTCAATAAATGTGCTAACATATCGCGGGGGGGTTCGCGGAATCCGTTTGCGATATCTCTCCGTGGACTCTCCCATAGGATCCCCTGAAAGAATCAATTTCCCTAGTTCGGTCGCAATAGGGACTGCTTATGACCACGCGAGTCCGCGTTTTCCAAATTCCTTAGATTCCTTCGTGGTTCGTTTGAGCTGCCGCTGAGATGCCTTTGCGATTTCTGTTGGGCTCCTTTGAGATTGCTTTGAACTTCCATTGGTTCCTTTGATATTATGCGTGGGATTCCTTGTGATATTCTTCTGGGGTTCCTTTGGGGGTCCTTTCAAGTTCCTGTGACATTCCTTCGACAATCCCTGAAGGGAGCATCACATCGACCTCCGGTGCCTGTGGATTATCTGATTTTCAATAAATGTGCTAACATATCGCGGGGGGGTTCGCGGAATCCGTTTGCGATATCCCTCCGTGGACTCTCCCATAGGACCCCCTGAAAAAAAAACAGATTCCCTATTGCGGTCGCAGTGGGGTTTGCCTATGTCCACGCGAGCCCGCGTTTTCCAGATTCCTTCGATTCCTTCGTGGTTCGTTTTAGCTGCCGCTCTGATCCCTTTGCGATTTCTGTGGGGTTCCTTTGAGATTATTTTGAATTTCCAATCGGGTTCCTTTGAGATTCTGCGTGGGCTTCCTTCTGAGATTCCTCTGGGATTCCTTTGGGGGGTCCTTTCAAGTTCCTGTGACATTCCTTCGATTGGGCTCCTCACGGATTCCTGCGACGTCCTATGGTTCCGTACGGTTTTCTATGACCTCGATTTCATTGTTTGTCATTTTTGATTTACCTTAGATTTCCAATGCGCGTCAGTTTCCCAGTGTTCTAGCAAGGCGGGCACCCATTGGCAAGCGTTCGTGCGCATTGGTTCTTCAGGCTGTCGCCTCACGTTGCCGCCAGCTTCGGGCCCGGGGGGGCAAATTAATTAAGTATTTCATTATATTTTTTATGTGCTAACGATATCGCCGGAGGGCGCCGCCCAATTTTTTATATTATTATTATTTTCTGTGCTAGCGATATCGCCGGGGGGGTTACTGTTTGCTTCCCGGGGTTAGCTGCGCGGGGTGGGGTGTGGGGCGCGAGGCCCACCGCCGCTTTTAACAGTGATGATTTCAAGGCGTGGGCTCATGCTCCTTGTCGGCCCCCTCGTCCTTACTATCCTTATGCTCCTCTCCTCCTCCTCCTCCTTCTGCGACGAGGCGTCGGTCGGTGGCTCCAGGTGCGTGGTGCCAGCCGAAAGTTCCCAGGAGACAGGCAATTGGTCCATCGAGAGGCGCGTCCCTGCCCCCTTTGTTTTCCTTGCCCTCCTCTTTTTCCCCACTCCTCTTTTTCTCCCCTCCTCTTCCCCCCTCCCTCCCCATCCCCTTCTGCCCCTTTGCTTGTTCCTTGCTGTTCCTTCTCCTCCTTCTCCTGTTCACTCTGGCGTTTTCCTCGCTTGCTTGCCAGACGCTCCTCCGTTGCACGCGGTGGCGCAGCCTCGCTGTGGTGATCTGCAGTGCTCTGGAATCATGGTGTCATCGTTGCCGGGCGGAAAACAAGCACATCAACAACAAATCCCTCCCCATCCCAGTCTGCCTCCCCGCCTCCACTCTCCCTGCCGTCCTTGTCATTTCATGTTCAGAGAGGGGGAGTTGGGGGATGCTGAGGAGGGCTGTCTGTCAAAAAGATCGCTTCCTGAGCCACTTGAATCAGCCACAGCGGCTCCTCTAGCATTGCGGAGGCCGCAGCAAATGGGCACGAGTCGTTGGACATGTTGCTTGGGCTGGTATCGTCGCGTACCGTGACGACCGTATGCGAAGCCACACCGCATTCTGCATCAGTGCGGCGGTGGACTACAAACTGTTGGCTAGCCTTCTGATTGGTACGACGGCCGCGGCGTCGGATGTGAATCTAACGACGTCTGTTCTCATGGCCTGGTCGTTGTCGTCCGTATGCGTGGAAGGAAGAAAGCCTCGCGTCCCATGAGCGGATTTGGTGGAACGGAGGTCGAGGCTTCAAGGGAACTCTTGGAGCTTCGCGCATCATCACAAGCCCATCCAGCAACAATGCCCAGTCGAGTTGCCTTGATCAGGGAAGTGTGGGAGGAAGCAGTGGAATACAGAGGCGGAGCAGCCATCAACGCAAAGCTCGGGATCAGCCTCAGCATACCCAGAAGTCAACCATCGATTCCTTCGCGGACGTTTCGATATGTGAGCCTCTTGGCAGCTTTACTGGGCCCTCTTGGGGCCCTCCTCGGGCAGTTTTGGAAGCCTTTGGGCATCTCTTGTGGCCTTCTTGGGGCACCTTTTGGGGGCCCTGAGGTCCCTCTTGGGGCCATCTTGGAAGCCATCGATCAAAGAAGAGGGCGGCGCGGACTGGTGTTCCCCCTCCTGGGCTCGAGTAGTCGCCTCCTGGGGCCCTTGGGCCGCTCTGGGGCGCTCTTGGGCTCGTCTTGGAGCCCTCTTGGGCCCCACTTGGGGCTCTCCTTGGGCCGGCTTGAAGCCATCGTGAGTCGAGAGATGTCGTGCGGCACGGCGCAGCTCCAGCCCACAAGACTGCCCCTCGGCGGCGGCCCACGTGTCTCACGGGCCCAGAGCTCCGACTTGCACCCCCTCCCCTCCCGACCCTCGCACTCGTCCGGTGCGCCGCCACAGCATGCCGCCGCGTTCGCCCTCAGCCTCCGCCTCTGCCCTGCTCTGGCCCCGCAGCCCTCCGTCCCTCGAGTGAAAGGTGGCGACGGCGACGACGACTGCGACGCCAAGGAGGGGCAGGAGGAGCAGGAGGAGGAGGAGGAGGAGGAGGAGGAGGAGGAGGAGGAGGAGGAGGAGGAGGAGGAGGAGGAGGAGGAGGAGGAGGAGGAGGAGGAGGAGGGAGGAGGAGGAGGGAGGAGGAGGGAGGAGGAGGAGGAGGGAGGACGAACCCTCAGGCCCACAGGAGCCAGGCACCAGGAGGGAGGACCGTGGACGAGGGGCGGCAGCGAGGGCAAGAGGGCCAGCGCCGCCGCGCGCGGTGCCCAGCGAGGAGTAGGCGCGAAGACCGGCGCGCCTCGTCCTCGGAGGCGGCTGCCAAGCTGTGCAAGGCGACGCAAACATCTCGGCGACTGGCGCTGGCACACGTCGTCGTCGTCGTCGTCGTCGTCGTCGTCGTCGTCGTCGTCGTCGTCGTGTCCTCCTCCTCAAATTCACATCATTCCTTCCTTCATTCCTTCTTTCATTCATTCATTCCTTTCTTCATTCATGCATGCATGCATGCATTCATGCCTCCTCCTTCTCCTCCTCCTCCCGACGCTGTGCCTCATCCTCCCTTGCCCACTTTGAGCTCATCTGGGATCGCGAGTGTTCCGCTCTATCCCTCCCTCCTTCTTCTCTCTCCTCCCCCCCCACCTTCCCCCTCCTCTTCCTCCTCCTCCTCCTTCGATCCTTTGGACGCGCTCCGGCGTGCGGGACCCCAGCGCGTTCGGGCGAGCGCGCGCGAGGGGTGTCGGGCGCGATGGTGCTCGCCTGCATCCCCGCGGCCGCCGCCGCCCTGGTTGGGATGCAGCCCGGTGGGGTGGGGGGGTCGATGGACGACGAAGAGGGCGAAGAAAGCGACGACCGCGACGACCAGGACGACGAGAATGACGACGAAACGTGGAGGATGACGGCGACGACGGCGGCGGCTACGGGCGGCGCGCCGCGCGGAGAAGGCGGAAGAAGAGCGCCGCAAGGGAGAGAGAGACACAGAGAGAGAGAGAGAGAGACATAGAAAGAGAGAGAGAGAGAGAGAGAGGGCGATCGACGTTGGAGGACCGCGCAAGAAGCACACGCGGCAGCTGAAATGGACGAGGGGAACGAGCGTGACGTGGAGTCGCAAGTGGAGGCGCTTGCAATCAGGTGCCACTCCCTGTGGAAAGCGTGCAGAGAGCGGGGAGGTCCCCCGAGGACTCGCGAGGGTAGCTGGGCGCAGAGGAGAGATCGCAGAGCGAGGCGTGGAGCGGAAACGAAAGAGGGAAAGGAGAAAAGAGAGGTGGGCCGCGAGGCCAGACGAGGAGAGGGCTACAGGCAAATGAGAGCCGAGCTTCGCTCCTGGGAGGACGAAGCGCGAGCACCTCGAGATCGAGGGCCGCGAGGCTGCGGCGGCCGAGGCGTCGCCGTCCTGCGTGGCCCGAGGGCGCGCTCCGCGAGGGGGCGCGGCGGGCGCGCCTGCGAGCCGTCCCGAGGGGAGGGCCGGGCCCCGGCAGGGCCGGGCAGACCCCCGCGCACTCCGCGGGCGGCGGAGGGTCCGGCCCAGAGGATGGCGTCAAGTCGGGCCCGTCCCTCTGCAGGGGGAAGGCTCAAGAGCAGTGAAGCAAATAGTCTGGGGACGATTTTTTGTTAAAGCATTGTTTTGGCCATTTGGGCGCAGTTTTTGGGGCATTTTTTTTTTTTTCTTCCAAGGCCCCCCTGTAGGGGGACAACCCCGACTGAAGGATGGCTGCGGGCGAGGGGGCGATGGGCCTTCGGTCTTCTGAGAAGGCCTGGCGAGCTCTCACTTCCGCCGTCGGCGCGCGCGCCGCCGAAGTCCTGCTCCACTCCCTCCTGCTCCTACTCCTGCTCCTCCTCCTCCTCCCTCCTCCTCCTCCTCTTCCTCCTCCTCCCTCCTCCTCCTCCTCCTCCTCCTGCTCCTCCTCCTCCTCCTCCTCCTCCTCCTCCTCCTCCTCCTCCCCTCCTCCTCCTCCTCTTGCTCCCTTACTCCTCCTCCTCCTCCTCCTCCTCCTCCTCCTCCTCCTCCTCCTCCTCCTGTCCCTCCGCAGATTGCGGCGCCAGAAAATCCCAGGTCCTGGTGGGCCTGGAGGCCTGCACGGAGGTGACGGGCCAGGGGTCGATGACCCAGGAGGCGGTCCTGGCGGTTGCGAAGGATGATCGGGCCCTTCCGGCGGTAGTGGACCGCCGAGAGGTGATGGGCCGCCGGGAGGTGGTGTGCCGCCAGGAAACCACGGTCCTCCTGGCGATGGCGCTGCTGTTCCGATCCCTCTTGTAGGAGATGGATAGATGCCCCCTGGGCAAGAGCGAAGGGCGAAAGTCAATCTCCCAGAAATCCCCAACGCTGCCACTTTACCGAATTGGTCTAGAGCCGCATGCCGAGCCGCTGCGACCTGGGGGGCCGATGACGCATTTAGATGGTTTCAGCAAGCGCTAAACAGCAGTGCCCCCCACGTCAATCACAAGAGGCCCTGGGTGATTCTTTATTTTGGATTTCGCGGTCGCCACAGGTCTGCCGAGCTAGAGGACAACACATTGGAATTACCAGAAGACGATGGGTGAGACGATGACGCAGCTTTTGGCAAACAGAAAACACGAGATGCGTTATTGGACTGAGGGGCGATTCCTTCGCGGAAGAGGAAGCGTGAGAGTCATCGAAGTCATCGCCCTGTGTGTATCGGTCAGATCTGACCACAAGTCTGTCCATTCGTTTCGCGACCTTCTTTCGTGTGATATAGAAGAAATGGGCCAAGGGCCGACGAGGAGTTGATTGACCCGGTTTTGCGACGATTGGAGCGTGATGTTGAGCCAGATGCCGGGACTCATCGAGGATGTGTGGCCTGCTCTGAGGACCCCCGACTTCGAACAGCTCAAGATGTGGTCTGTGATGGACAGGGCGGGAGTGTCCATGGAGTGTAGCTTCGATGGCAAAACAACTCAGTCGGCCTTGCGAGTGGAAAGACGAGCAGATATACCAGGATGGAACGAACACGCAAACAAGAAAAGCGAGACACAGTGAAGTCCGATAATCGGGGGGCGCTCGAGGTAGCCATTCCAGCACCGCCAAAAGAAGGTTCTGTCGGCCTGCTCATGAAGGGCGGAAGTCCCAAGCAACACTTCCTTTGCCGATATTTCGCTGCTGGAAACTGTAAGGATGGGAAGATTTGCCCGTTCGGGCGCGATCGGTCGCCCGGAGCACAAGATGGCCTCTTACCTGAGGGGGCCGGCGGTGTTCCCATCGGGCACATCATTGCGAGTTGGCGATTTGGGCAGGCGCGGTATCATGGCAAGCTCGACAACGGTAATTCGACACGACGATGGTAGCTGCGATGCTGGTGATGATGGTGGCAGCGACGATGGCAAGGCCAGCGACGGCGCCCATGCTGATCACGCCTGCGATGGTGACGGAGCCCTCGCATCGGCGATGAGGGTTTTGGAAGGAGTTCGACATGCGCGCGCGGCCGACGCGCGAGAGTGACCCGCATGGTTTTATTCGACGCCCATCGCGCGCCCCCCCCAGCACGCGCGCAAGGGCGTTCGAATGATTTCGACGTGCGGCGCGAGAGGCTCGTTTGGTCGAATTTAACGGACCTGTTGAACACCGATGGTTCCCCGAAGAATTCGCACGAGCGCGGTCGCAGGCATTTTTTAAGAATTGACGTTGCAACGCCATGCGTGTTTTAATTTTTTTTGGTTGCAGGACTTTCGATTTAGAACTCCATGCCAAACCGAAGGTTGTTTTGAAGGTTTCCCGCGAGCGCCCGCGACGACGCGCGCACGCGGTCTTCGCCATGTTTGATTGTTTTGTTGTGCCTGTGGATTTGCGACAGCGCGCGCGCAAGGGCGTTCGGGTGATTTGAACGCGCGCTCGCGGGAGCCACGTTTGGTATAATTTGATGTTTTTTGTAAAACCAGTGGTTTTCTCAAGAATCTGCACGTTGCAGTGATCAGCGAGCGTGTGCGCATAAAGGTTGTTTGCAGAGGATGAGGTGGGGGGCGATGCCGGCCTGGCCGCGGCGGTATGAGTTCATGTTTAGGGAGGGCGAGCGCGCAGGGCCATATGCGAAAAAACAGCGCGATCGTGGGGCCCGAAGATTCTTTCAGAAAGGAGAACCCTCGTAGAAATTGGGGGCGGGAGCCACCCTTTCCCGTCGGCGTAGGCGGTTGGCGCATTTTCCATTGGTTCGCGGGCGAAGGCCGAAGACGTCCCCGACGGCTTCAGAGGGCGCGCACTTCGGGCGCGCACATCGCGCTGGGGGAGAAGAGTTGGGCCAAAGGGTTTGCGCATGCTGTTGCCCCAGCTGGAACAGTAAGTAAACGGGCATGCTGAGCGACGGAAGCGACCCGGGGTCGAGACATCGAGTCAAACATGGCGCGACGTGCTCACGCCTGCCCCGGAGGGCGAATCGTTCGCATTCCCGTTGCAGGATGTTTGCCGCGAGGTAAGGGCCAAGATGAAGTCGGCAACCCTCGGAGATAAATCGCTTCCTCCCCCGGCGCCGCCGCGCCGTGACTTTGGGGGAGCCGGCGTCGGAAACGACGGTGTCGATCGAGGGCGACCCGTCTGATGCCGAGGGGCCGTGTGGCCCCCCGCCGGTACTAGGGCTCGAAGGACGCGATAAGGACGGGGGAGTTATCCCTAGTTCAGTCCAGATCGCTGGAACAGGTTATTGTGGCCGGAAGAACAAGTTTCATGATTGCCCCAGACAGTGGCAAACATCCGAGCAGTTGTTGGCCAGGACAGTTCGAAACTGTGGTAACATTGAAAACTTCCAAGAACATTGGGTTGCGCTCTGTTCATTGAAGGAAAACGGGAGAAACCGCCGTCGTTGGCGGGACGGAAGAAATCGTGTCATTTGAGGATCGTTTTGTATTACGATCCAGAGTATGTAAAACCCAATCGAGCATGGGCGGAGGGCCCACATGATGGTTGGGCATGGCTCAACAAGATGCCGGACTCCGATAACCCGGGCCTGCGCCCGTCATATGGCTCCACATGAGTTGGCTCAAGGCGTCTCGGCTCATGCGAGCGGGCGACGTCTTCGTCAGTCCCGCTGCCGTTGCTCCAGGGTGCCTTAGCTTACCGCATTGTGCGCTTCGCTCTGTTGCCCTGAGCCTCCGCAGCTGGGCTGACGGCGGGCTCTCTTCTTACTTTCCGACCCGCGCCCGTTAGGTCTCGCCATGGCAGGTGCTGCAAGCCTCGACTCGCTTTTCCAGGAGCTGGTGGAGGACGACATCAGCCGCCACCACTTCCTCGTCCAGGCGGCCACCACGACCCCCCTGCCAAATATATCCACCTCCGGAGCGAGCTGAACACATGGACGGCGCTTCGGGAGACGCTCCAGGCACTGGCGTACAACCCGATCACTGAGGACGCTTGGATCCGCCTCGGCCTGCCGAAGGACGAAGGGGAGGCGCCTGCCCAGGAGCTTATCGACCAGCGCTGCAACATGGGCGCGCTCTTGATGACCGCGGCCGACGCGGAGACTTGGGCGACTGAGGGCGCGGGCAGGGCGAAGCATTTTACCGTGCTGTTGGAAAAGGCCCGGGAAGACTGCACTGCCGACCTTGGCCGGGTACTTCGGGAACGCCGCCGGCGCAAGGGTGGGGCCGACGCCGTGCCACGTTGGCTTGAACCCAGTCCTGACCTCTTGTCTTTCTTCGTGCAGCGCTCGACACAGGACGATGACAAGTTGGCCCTCCACCTTTCCAATTTGCAAGAGGTGGCGCTGGACAGCTTGTCGAAGGTGGTGCCGATGGAGACGTGCCGCACGTTCTACCGCATGCTGAACAAGGGTGGTACTGGCTGCACGGAGCTGCTAAA